GCTAGACGGTGCTGGTGACATGCCTTCAAACCCCTAAAACCCAAGCTAACGGAACCTCTCGTCCTTGACGAAGACCCAGCATTTCACTAAAGCAGCACAAAATGGGGTCATACGTCACTCTCTGGTGTGGCCAGTCCATTCTACTGGGGGGGGGTCCTTCCTCCTGCCCCAGCTGTGGGCCCCCCAGCCTGTCCTGTCTGCACGTGCCCTTTCTACCCGAGCCCCGGCTCCTCTGCAGATGTCAGGACAGGGACCCTGGCTTCCGGCCGCTCCAGAACACATGCATCCACACACGCACACACACACATATGTGCCCACACATGCATGAACACACATGCATGCAAACACATACATACACCTATGTGCTCACACATACATACATGTGCACGTACGTGCATGGACAGATGTGCATACAAACATACATATACACATGTACACACACTTATCCACTCGCATATACACGCTTTCACACATACACATGCATTTGCACACACATGCTCACACATACATACACACATGCTCACACATACATACACACATTCACATGCTCACTCACATATGCACATACACTCACACAGACTCACATGTACATATGTGCATACACCCACATACAGGTGCACACAGTTGTACATGTACATGTGTCTGCATGCATGGGGATACATATACACACGTGTGCCCACGCAGACACATTTACACACACACACGTGTCTGAGCATCAGCCACCACACCCTCCACTTTTTGGAATTAGGGTCCTCATAGAAATTGGGTTAGGATGAGGCATCAGGAAGCACCCTAATCCCAGATGACTGGCATCCTTTAGGAAGGGGGATCAGGAGGCACAGGGTGCACACCTGTCCTCCCAGCAGCTTGGGAGGCTGAGGCAGGAGGATTGCGAGTTCAAAGCCAGCCTCAGCAATTTAGCGAGTCCCTAAGCACCCCAGTGAGACCCTGTCTCTACATAAAATACAAAATAGGGCTGGGATGTGGCCCAGTGGCTGAGTGCCCCAAGTTCAATCCCCAGTACCAAAAACAGGAGGGGGGATGGGAGCACAAACGCGCTCACAGGTGAAGGTGGCGGAGAACCCCAGTCAACCTCCCCAGCCAGGGAGCCATCAGCCCCAGAAGCTGGGGAGTGGCTGATGTCCCCCCACAGCCTCAGGGGAACCGCCTGCCGTGGCTCGGGCCTGCAGACCCTGAGGAGACACGGGTGGTGTGCGTCACCGGGCCGGGGTGCCACAGCCCCAGAGAGCCAGCATGCGCCTGCTGGACCTGCTCTGTTCTGCTGCGGCTTGTCCCCTGAAGGCTTGTGTGTGGCCGCGTGGTCCCTGTGTGCTGGCATTTAGAAGGGGGTGCACCTTGGAGCGGCAGGACCTCGGGGGCTTGGATGTGCCGTTCTCGGAAGGGATCGGGGGTCCTCCTGGGACTCCGGTTGGTTCTTCAGAGAGTGTTGCTATAAAAGTGCAAACCAGGCCTCTCTGGTCTCTGGCCTCCTGCCTCACCCTGTGGTCTCTTGCTCCCATGTCCTCCCCACTGTGACGTAGCAGAGGGCCCGACCAGAGCCCTCTGTGCTGTTTGGAGCTCCAGCCCCCAGAACTGTGAGCTAAGTAGACCTCCTTGTTTTCTCAAGCACCTGGACTCGGGCGTTTTGTTACAGCAACAGGACACAGGGGATGGCTTGCCCATGGCCGTCACAGCATGAAACCCAGCCCTGTGGCCTCCCGGGGCCTCCCTGGCCTTGCCTGCCCTTCCCTCCCCCAGGGACCAGCCCCTCACTCTGCACCCATCCCCCTCGAGGCTCCTCCTCCAGCGGGAAGAGCAGCGGGTCTTGCCCTGGTTTTACCATCTGTAGTCCCACAGGCGGCAGCACAAGGTCCCCCTGCCTGGGTGACCTCTCCACACAGGTTCTGCCGTCATGCTGGTCCTCCCAGGCAGCCTGGGCACCCTCTCCTCCTAGGGGCAGCATCCATGTCCTCTGGGGCCACCCTCAGCCCATGGCTTGCCGTCCCTGCTGATCACACTGCGGTTCCTCGGGGATCCACTTCCCACCGAGGCCCCTCCGAGCTCTGGCAGATGTGAGCTTTGGGGGACACCGGGGCCCCCTGCAGGGCTCTCCTGGGCATGGGAGGTGGGGCCAGGGTGGTTCAGAGGGGAGGCCACAGACGTGACAGGGAGGTGCCCAGGACCAGCAGGGTCCGTGCTGCAGAGAACCACCTCACTCCCCTTTACAAGGCCTCTCCGTAGAACCCTGCAGCTCGGAGAGGACAGCTCCCAGCGATGACAGTGACGTGTCACATGGCAGTCCCTGAGCCCAGGATGCCTACCCAAGAAAGGCCCCTGCAGGCCACCAGCCTTGTAGCCCTGGACGCAGCGGAACCCGAGCTCCATCAGGGGCTGTCACCCTGGGCCTGTCGGGGAGGGGTAGCCGTGGGCCTCGGGTGGGCAGAGGCCAGCGGGGCCAGCTGACCGTCTGGACAGAGTCCACTGTACACCTGCCGGGAGTGGGGGGGGTGTGCCCTCGGGGCTCTGAACTTGACCTGGGGAGGGCCTCCTGGGGGCTCTTCCTAGACACCGTCTGCTGGCCTCTCCCTCAGGCTGCAGCTTGGTGGCCTGGGGAGGTCCCAGCAGGGAGGGCATGTCCATGCCACAGACCAGGGAAGGGCAGCTGGGCTCATCCTGCCCGGCCCACATCGAGGTTCCCTGCAGGTGCACGTGGCCATTGGCCATCAGCGCCCATGAGGGCTTTGTCCCCCGGAGGCCTCTGGCCCTGCGTCCCAGCACCCCGTCAGAACTGGGTCGTCCAAGGACGCAGGCAGTGCGCCTTCACCAGATGGCTTCCTCTGTGGGCACGCGTGGACTTGGCACTCTCTTGTCCCAGGACCTGGGAGAGCCCGGGAGGGAGACTATCCCCAGGACTCTGGGCTCTGAGCTCCGGTTCCCTGTCCAGGTTCTGCATCCACACAAGTCAGCCATGCAGTGTCCGGTGTCCCAAACATAGACTCCTGTCCTGTCTGTCACCTGAGCCACCATCAGGGTGAAAGAGGACTGTCCCCCTCTCACCTGGAATTGTCCTGGGCTCTGTCCCCCTGAAGCCCTGGCCAGCACCTGTGCGTGTCCCATAGGCAGGCACCGTGTGGCCATCTCTGGGAACCACTCAGGAAGGTGCCAGAGGCCAGGTCTTGGGCACAAGTCCCCCAGACCATGGGTACCTTTGCCTCACCAGCAAGATGGGGAGTGTGGCCCTCGCTCTTGGAGCAGGTTTGGGGGAGGGGACAAGGTTCAAGGCCACCCCTGCTGCGGCTGGTGGTGTCAGGGAGGGGAAGTCCAAAGGGGCATCTCCAGGCTGGGGTGTCCCCAGCTGGTCAGGTGCAGTAGCCCTGACGTGGGCAGAGCAAGGCAGGTGGGTGGGGGACCTGGCAGCTCCAGAACCGAGACGTTCTGGGAACCCCACCTGACAGTGTGGCCTGAGAGCGGCACAGAGGCAGCCGGGGCAGAGGACAGCGATCCACAGGGCCTCCTCGGTCAGCGGTCAGCCGGCTGCAGCTTGAGCTATCTGTTTAGAGGTTAGTTAGTGGGTGCAGGGCCTGCTGCACCAAGCAGCTCAGTCACCGTGAATGACCCCACATGGCCTGGCCCCCTGGGCCCAGTGAGGTGCCAGCCCACTCCTGTGGCCCACAGCAGATGTATCAGCAGGACCGAGGGGCTTGGTGGGGTGACCGGGCGAAGGGGGTGGGCCTGGCCCTCATCAGCCCTCCCTGGCCCTCCTGTGGCCCAGGACTGAGCCCTGTGGGAACTGCTTGGTGCACTGGGGCGCTGGGGTGCCACCTTGGGGCAGAGACTGGCTGTGGAGCTGCATCTGGTGACAGGGTGGAAATTTGTCAGATGGAGACGGGAAACTAGCAAAGTGGCTCTTTGGAGACCCCAGAGTGTCCTGGTGCGTGTGGGTGGTCTGCTCCGCTCTTGAGGACGACAGGGAGAGCCGTTGGGGCCAAGTCCAGCCCCAGATTTGTCCTCGCTCAGTGTTGGATGCTGTCCTTGGACCCCAGGAGCTGGCGTGAGCCTTTGGTGCTCAGAAGGCAAGGTGGGCAGCAGCGCGCAGTCTGGACTTGGGGGTCAACGGGAGGAAGGTGGAGCTGCCCCCTGGGGGACGCTGTCCCCGGTGCTCCCCAGCCTTACCTGTCTCCCCTCGTCCGCGCCGGCTCTTCTGTGCGGCCACCAGGGAATGCTCGTCACCAGGTGTGGCTTCCCCCAGTGTCTTGTCTGGCCTTTTTGGTGGCTCCAAAGCTGCCATCTCTGTTGCTGCCTGAAGGAAGCCACGGGACTGGGCACCCCAGAGTTTCTACCTACCTGGGGTCCAAGTCTTGCTGGGCAGGTGCAGACCTGAGTAGACCCCCCGTGGTATGAGGGTCAGAATCAAGTCCACAAAACGGTGACCTCCGTGGGCTTTCAGACAGGGCTTCGGTGCAGGGAGGTCACTGCCCTTGTGCTATGGGCTGCCAGAGCCCAGGGTCAGGCAGGGGAGACGGGGAGGAGGAGGGTCCCGCAGGGCCCCGCGTGAGGCAGCCGCAGGGGCAGGGGCAGGGGCCATGCCGGGGCTGAACTGGCTTGGAGGGCCTGACCCAGGAGGGCAGGATCTCAGGCATCTTCCTGGACACTGGGTCCTCGGCGGGCAGCAGCGCCCAGTGTAGGGCTGGTGTGAGCCCAGCTCTGAGTGAATGCGTGAAGGGACGGAGCGAGGCTCATTCAGAGACACGGGAAGGGGTCGACGCAGCAGGAAGCCCTCGGCTTTGCTGCTGGCTGCATCAGAGGGCAGGGTCGGCCGGCAGCTCCCGAGGTGCCCAGCCGGGGTCCAAGGGGATTCTGAGGGCAGCAGATTTGGATGCACCTGCCCACCCTCCCAGGATGGCCTGAGCTGACGGGTCGCTGGGGAAAGAAGAGACTCGGGCTGCGACATACCCACTGCAGGGCACTGGACACTCCTTGCAGAGGCACCCTGACCGACGTCCACGTGGGTTCTCGCCTCCAGGGTGCCTCCTGCATTCCTTTCTGGGCCCCCTGGACGGCAGCTCAGGGCTCACAGGCTCTGGCTCTTGGTCAGGCTGACTTTGGGCAGTGTCTTCTCCTGCTGCGTCATTGCTTGTCCTGTGAGAGAGGCCACCAGCCAGGACGCCACCCGGCCTCGCGGGTGCCCCCTCCTGGCACCCTAGGGGGCTGCAGGTCTGACTCGGCCACCCATTAATGGGCATCTCAAGTCCACGGGATCTACCTGCACGGGACACTCTTGGGGTCGGAAGTGGATGCCCTTGGACGTCCAGGCCACTGGGACCAAGGGCCAGGGACCAGGTGGGTCTCAAGCAACACAGACTGCGTCACATCCTGGAGGATGGGAGTCCGAGGCCCGGGTAGCAGAGAGCGCCACACGTCCCTTTCAGAGGTGCTAAGTCCATTCAGGGGGACTCCAGCATCACAACAGATCACCTCCAAGGCCCCTCTCAGTACCGCCCCTGGGAGAAGGATCGCGACACATGGATTTGGGGGCAGAAGCACTCGGGCCCTTGTGGGATCACAGTGCACTTCCTTATCTGACGGGGAGGCCCGGCTGACGTCTGATTGGTCACCGTGACGCGGGTGGGCGAGACTGAGCACCCTGGCTGGCCCTGGACCAGGCTCCATAGACTGAACAGCTGCTTCCCGGACCTCGGCCTCCCCGTGGCCGACACCCCAGCTCCTTCACCCCTCTGTCCGCCCCTTCAGCTTCCAACGTGCAAACCCAGAGCCCCATGGTGTTGCCGGGGCAACGGGAGCTCGTCCTGGCTTTGCGAATAACAGTCCATTGGAAGCACCCCTCCCCTGCCTGCTGGGTGACCAGAGCCCATGGGAGCCGTGGACGTCCATCCTTCTCCTCTCCAGGCTGCCCGGGAACAGAACAGGACCAGGTGCCTCTTCCTCGGCTCCTCGTCTTGCTCTGCTCAGGCGGCCACAGGTTTAAAGCAGCAACAATCTGCTCCTCACAGTCTGGAGCCCAGAAGTCCCAGGCCAAGGTGCGGCCGGGCTGGGCCTTGAGGCCCCGATGGCTGTAGATGGACCTTCGTCTCATGTGGTGCCCCCACGGCCCCAGTGTCCTCTTAAGATGGTGCCGTGCTGGACGAGTCCCACCTCGCGGTCTCACCTCAACCCGCTGGTCCAGGGAAGACCTTTCCAGACAAGGTCCATGCTGAGGCGCAGGCGTCAGGGCGACTCCAGTGTGAGCATGTGGGGACGGGACAGCCCGACCCCTCGCTGTCCTGATAATTGTGCTCAGCGTCTCCTCCCTGTGGCGGCCACCCAGGGCTCCAGAGAGGGAACACCCAGGTGTTGTCTGTAGGAACTAGAGGGCAGGCAGCACCCTGTTCCCACCAGCCCGTGTGGATGTAGACTTGGCCACCGGAACTTGGCGTGGAAAATGGGGAGTTGCCCTGGGAGCAGGTGGCCGACCCCATAGTGGGGGACATCCAGGTGTAATGCCCCTTCACAGCCCTGCTGGGCTTCACGGGCTGCTGAGGATGCTCGGGGCTTGGGCAGACGTGACCAGCATTGAGTGGTCCACCAAGGCCAGGCTGTGGTGGACCTGAGCATGCGTGGCACCAGCTCCAGGTGAGACACTAGGGTCAGCAGAGACAGACAGACTGCCCCTGCGTGGGCCTAGGTGACAGGGAGGGGCAGGTGGCATGCCCTGGGGGTCTGGGGGAATCCGGGTTAAAACCCCACCCCAGCCCTGCCTTTGAACTGGAAGCCTCCCTCCCTGGCCCCTGAGTCCCTGCCCCGCCCAGCAGCCCACACCTGTGGAGCATTGGCCACCTGAGTTCTGAGACGAGGTGGCTCCAATCCCAGGCAGACGGAGAGCCGCCAGGAGAGACAGTTGGTGACTCCAGGTCTGACTCCTCCAGTTCCTACCGCCAGCTCAGTGGACCCCAGACGGTGTCCAGATGCCCAGCTGACCACGGGGCCCCCATGAGCATCTTCCATGGCAGTGTGTCCAAAGCCAAACTCCCCTCTCCGCCCCAGCATGTGGGCTGTTCTCTTTTCCCACGATCCACCCAGTGTCTTGGGACAGAATCCTCGTCGGTAGCTCCCTGTCTGTTGCCCTGTGTCCTGTCCATCTCCAGCCCCAGCTAACATGTCCATCTGCAGCTCCACCGACTGTACCCAGGTGCATGTCCGGCTGCCCCTGACACAGTCCACAGCCTTGTGCCGTGGCCTCCCAGGAGGGCTCTTGCTCCACTCTCGCCTGCAAGGAGAGGGATAGTTCAAGGAAGAAAGAACATTAGATCACCCCTCCCACCAAAACCCTTCATTACCGTGGGCTGATGTCGACTCCAGGCCCCTTCAGCCACCTTGGGCGACCAGCTCTGACCCCGGACTTCCCAGGGGTCACCCTGCTCTGTACATCATGCAGGACCTCAGTATCCACATTGGTCTGATGGACAAAGGGCAGGACATGTAGCTGTCCCTGGCAGACCCCTCGTGCCTGCATCTGCCAGGATCTTGCCAGAGCACAGACGCTGTATCCTGCAGAGGCGACCAGGGGAGCTGTGTTTGCACCCAGCCAGGAGATCCAGAGGAACAGGCCCCTGCTCACAGCCGTGGGCTCAAGGGCTCTGAGGTGAGGCCAGCTCAGGGTGGGAATTTGCACCAATTTTTTTTTAACACCAATTTTAATCTAAAAAGCCTGCTTCTCACCAAATAGGACTTTTGATGAAAATTTTGATTGAAATTGCATATTGTGATACAAACCCAGGTAGCAGCTAGGCTGGGATTTTTCTGGCAGAGCACACAATCATCCCCTCCCTTGTTTTAGAGCCTGTGTTCCCAGAGTGCAGTGCGGGGACAGCGCAGCTCCATCCTAATGCACTGTCGGGCTGCTCCAGACCTCGTTTCTCGTGCTTTAAGACCATTAGTCCTTCCCGACCCATTTCAGAGGACAGATGGGAGGAACAACACCATTAGTAGCTCTGGAGCGGAACATCAGGGCCATCAACAAACACCACCTCCGACGGCAGGGCCGACCCAGTGACACGGTGGCCCTCCCTAACCTGGGGTATCACCAGCTGGCCGGACTGGCGCTATGAACTGGGTTCAAAGGAGCTGGCTCTATCAATAACTAAGAAAACAGTGAAGAAGAAACCACGCAGCACAGGAACACAGGTTTCTAAGGCAGACGTCTGGTTGACCCCAGGGGTCAGCTCCAGCGCTGGAAGGAGCAAGAGAGCAAGCACCCCGAAACCTCCTATCTGTTGGGGACAAGATGTTCGAGAAAGTTCCACCCAAATAAGGCAAGGGTTGGGTTTCAGGGGTTGCCCATCCCCCTTAGGCAGCGCCCAGGTAGGGCTTGAAGCAGCCTCCTTGCCCAGCGAGGGGGAAGGCCACTTGCCCTGCTCGGGTGTCGCGGGTGCGCCAGACCCTCCCCCACTGCTCCAGGTGGGGGAGCAAGCCCAGCCCAGGGCAACGGGTGGCCCCCACCCTGGGGCCTGGCAGTACCAGCCTGGCCCGGCTGCCCTGCTACCTGCACAGAGTGGGACCTGGAGGGGTGGTCCTGCTCACAGTGGAGGGGGGGCTGAAGTCACCTCCCAGGTCCTCAGGGGCACACTGTCTGAGCCACCTGCTGGAGTCCTGGGCCCGGGCTTTCTGGAAGGCTGAAGATATTCAGGACTTGCCCGAGGGCCGGCCACGGAGCCTGGTCCACAGCCTGTCTGTGCCTGAGATCTTCTGGGTGGGGCAGTGGGGGTGGGTGGGCTGTGACTGACCCTGACCCTGGAGACAGGATAGAGGGAGGAGCAGAGTGAGGCTGGGGAAGACACCCCCCCCCCGCAGAGCTCCCCCCCATGGGGCCACGCACACCCATGGCACCTGAGGAGCTCAGGGGGTGGCCGGGGTCAGTCTGCCCAGGTGTGATGGGTGACAGGGTCAAGGTCAGGAGGCTGTTCAGCTGGTCTGTGGCAGAGCGGCTCCTAGAGAAGGCAGGACCTTCACAGGAGACTGTGTGAAGGTCACCTGCAGAGCAGAACTGGGGACCCTCACGGGCACCCCGGGGATCTTGGCTGCTAGTCTGCATGTGAGGGGCAGCGGTGGGCCTGCCTGCCCAGCGTTGGCCCAGAAGGTTTGCCGCTTCCGTGCCGCGTGTCTTACTTAACGTCTCGGCTTCTGTGAGGAGGTTTCTTTGGGGGTAGGTCGGCTGTTGGAGCCTAAACCTAATCAGCAACTCAGCCCCCTCCCATGGGATTACCTGGGTGGTGGCTGGAGGCAGGTGGGATGTGGCTGCAGGGTCCTGGGTCCCTGGCCGTGTCCTGGGGGTCATTGTCGTCCCTGTGGGTGGCGCTCTCTGCTCCCAGGTGGCCTGTCCTGAGCTGCTTTCCTCCTCCACGTCCTTCTACGGCCAGGCTCTGCCTCACCTTGGCCCAGAGCTATGGAGGCGGCCTCTGTGGACGTCAGCCCCAGAAACCATGAGCCCCCAATTCCCTTCCCTCCTCTGCTGGCTCTCCTCAGGTCTTTGGGTCACGGCAGTGAAAAGGCTCGACTGGAGCAGGGGTGATGGCGTCCAGCCAGCCTACTCCATGTATTATCCCCCATGTCCCCTCCCCACCCACCCATCCTCTAGCCCCTCCCCATCTCTCCATCCATTCGTCTGCCCGTCCTCCCACCACCCATCTGTCTTTCCGGCTAGCTTTCCGTGGACCCACCCCCCACTCATCTCCCCACCCCTCTGCCGCCCACCCACCCCATCTCTCAGTGTCCGCCACCGGCCAGGCACCCATCATCCACCCTCTCTCCCTCCTCCCGCCCCCCTCCTTCCATGCCCCCTCCATCGCCCTCCACCCCCAGCTCCCTCCCACCCGGTGCCTCCATGCAGAGCAGCCCTGTGCCCCGCCCTGGCCACCCCGCTCCGGATTAAGAGAAGCAGGATGAGCGCGGCCAGCTGTCCAGCACTCGCAGTCTCGGGGCGGTTGCTGCTGTCGTTTCATAGGAAAGTGGCACTGAATCTTGATGACTCCATTTACATCACAGGCAGGGACCGGGGGACTGGGGTGCCCTGGGCAGCACGGCACTCTGACCGCACACAGGCTGGGTGCAGCCCTCACCCTCCATCTACCTGCCGGCACATCCGGGATGGGAGGGAAGCTGGCAGCTCAGGTCACAGTGTGCTGCGAGGTGAATGGTCCTGCTCTGGTAGGGCCTTGCAGCTGGCCAGGACCGGGGGGTCCCCTGCTGCAGAGTGGGCGTTCACAGCTGGGGCCCCGGCAATAGCCCTGTGCAGGCCCCGTGGACCCGTGGCCTCAGCCACTGAGAAGGCACATGGCCCACAGGGACAGCCGTGGCTGTGTCCTGCCATGACGGTTCTTGTTGGGCCTTCAGGGCAATCAGCAGGGCCCTGAGCGTGGCCTTGACATGCTGCGGGGCCCTACAGGTCAGACGCGTCTCTCACCATGTGCTAAGGCTGCCCTGTCTGCTCCCACTGCTTGTGGACTTAGGTCCCCCTGGAGCTCCAGGCCACCCTGAGTAGCAAGAACTGGGCCCTCATGCTGACCCAAGAACCGGGATGACAGGTCAGCCCAGGACCCCTGTCATCTGCCAGTGCTCTCCTGGGCACCAACCAGGAGCAGGCTCCTGAGACGTGCAAGAGACCAGGCCTTGATCTGGAAATGAGGCCACTTGAAGAGGCAGCCACTTGCCAAAACCCAGTGCTGTCGCCGTGCGGAGCTCATGACCGTGGCCCTGCTGGGAGGGCAGGGCTGGCTGGAGGTGCCCGGCAAGCTGGGAAGGCCTGACCTGGGAGCAGGCGTGTGGGACCGGTCATGGAGGATCCACTAGGTGTTGGCCCTGTGCGTCACTGGTCCTGGGTGTCACTCTTCAGTCCTTAGAGCAGTTGTCTGTGGGCACTGCTCGTCACCCCACTGTTCCTCTGCCACTCTGGGGTCCCACTGGGCTCTCAGGCCCAGGCCTTGGAGTGCCTCCAACATGGAACCTGCTCTGGAGAGCAGCCCCTGCCTGCCCTGCCCGCCGCCGGGGAAGCGCCAGCTGTGTCCACCTTCTCCCTGTGGCAAGGACGTCTGCTCATGGGCAGGCTGTGGGCAGAGCGTGGTCCAGCAGTGAGGGCTGTGGACAAGGTGGACAGAGCAAGGGCGGCCAGGGCTTCCAGCAGCGACTCTCCATGGTCCAGGTGAAGACGGGGGCTGCAGGGAGCAGGCGGCTCCAGGACACACGGGCACTGCTGGGCTCTCTGGGGAGGGCTCTGTGAGGCTCTGCAAACTCCAATCCAGCAAAGCAGAGATCCGAGGCCTCCCTCGCAGCGCTGTTGAAGTCCTCAGCTAAATAGTGCGTGAAGCAAGGCTGAGTCACACCCCAGAGAAGTGAGCCCGACACACCAAGAGGGCAGTGTTCAAACACACAGCTGGCTTGTGTCAGTCTGTCTGTCCATCAATCCACCACCCATCCGAGAACCCATTCACCTGTACACCCATCTACCCATCTGTCTACCCATCCATTCGCCCATCCACTGTGTGTCCATCCATCTAACCTCCCATCCACACAACTACCCATCTACCCACCCATCCATCTAACCTCTCATCCACCCATCCACACAACTACCCATCTACCCACCCATCCATCTAACCTCTCATCCACCCATCCACACAACTACCCATCTACCCACCCATCCATCTATCCATCCATCCACCCATTCACTCATCCATCTACCCATCCATTTACTCATTCACCCACCCATCCATCCATCTATCTGTCTGTCCATCTATCTAACCTCCCATTCATCTATCCACCAACCCATCCATCCACCCACCCATCCTTTCATCCACCCACTCATCCGTCCACCCACTCACACATCCACCCACCCACCCACTCATCCTTCCACCCACTCACACATCCACCCACCCATTTATCCATCCACTCACACATCTATCCATCCATTCACCTATCTACCTGTCTGTCCATCTGTCTAACCTCCCATCCCTCCGTTCACCCACCTATCTACCCATCCACCTGCACACTCATCCGCCTCTGCTTCCTCCTTCCCCCCTTCCGCAGCCCCTCCATTTCTGGACCGTCATCATGAGCTTCCCACTTGCCGGACTCTGTAACCCTGAAGGCTGCTCTCCTGTCTTTAGGGGCTGCCCATTTGTCTTCATTTACTGCCTCCTGTGATGTTGGGAGCTGGGATTTGGGCACAGGAATTCCCCCACCCATTTTCCCAGCACGGCACCCACACCTGGAGCAGGGCCGTGGTCAGCCCTGGGGTCCACACTGGTTGAGGCTGGGCCAGCTGAGGGCTGCGGCTCCTCCCCTCGCCTCCTTCTGTCTGCACCGCTGACAGGTCTCACCCCTTGCAGCCGGCTCAGGCCTCCTCTGCAGTCTGTGAGGACGGCCTGGGCCCTGGGCGTCAGGAGCAGCCTGCAGGATGAGGGTGCTCAGGGTTTCTGTCTGTCCCTCCTGTCCCGGGGCAGCACTGGTCCTCCTGGGGTGCCAGTGAAGGGCTGGCTGAGTGGGGAGGACTTTGACCCCGTGGGTCCTGTGGACCTGGTTCATCGTCCC